AGTTGCTGCAAAAGGAAGAGTTGCCGATGTTGATTCCGAAAGTGCTGCACTTTATAGAAAAGCTGGTGCTATTCCTTTAGTTGTTACGATTGTACCTGAGCTATGCATGTGGTGGGAGAGTGCTAACTTATTGCACGGAGTGCCTAGAAATCCTTACAATAACACACGCACCGTTGGGGGAAGTACAGGTAAGCCACATTACGAAGAAATGCGATATGTTATTAATAATATACTAAATATATATACCAAGAAAAAAGTGTGGTTACCTAGAATATGGTACGATTTACCGTAACTCTATGGGAATACCAGAAAGCTCGATAATTTTTATCGATGCGCTTTTGTAATGATTTTGGTAAAATCTAATATATATAATTCTCTTACGTGGCTCCCAAATTTTGGCTGTATTTCTTTTCCACCGGTCGCAACGTTTGCTTTGTTTTGTTTACGTTACTATTTCTCTTACACGACGAATCGACCAATGATTGCCGCTTAAGATGTCACATGCCAAATCTAGCTGAGGTGGTTCAGCATATAGCGCTTTTAAAACGGAAACGGAAATAACCAGAGAGCATCAACTGCGGCAATCTCTTACTATTAAGCTATGTAGAAGTGAGTAGTCTTTGTCGATAGATCTCTATTTTAGTATTTTGTCGAAAGCGCTTTTTTTTTCCACGAATTTATGTATTACGAATTTATTTGACGATGATTGATTTATATCACGAATTATACTATAGCACATTTCTAATAGGTTTAACAAATTACATTTCATTTATTTGAATTCAAATTTATTGTAATGACTTAGTATTCACTAAAAATATGTAATTTTTTTAAAAAAAAAAGTTTTTATATGGATTTAAATGATTGTTTTGAATTCTTGGAATTTTGTGCATTTGCAATGTACCTAACTTAGTAGCGAACGAAGTGAGCTTGATTTGCGAAGCAAACCATATAAGATTGGGTAGCAATTTTCAGGGGTTGGAGAGCGTTAGCGAGCAGGGGGCGCAGCCCACTAGTTAATAATAAAATATGTTTTTTTTAATATATGATAAAAGTTGGTAATTTTATCATGATATGGCATAAAAAGCATTTATCCGGCTACATTAATTTTTGAGTTTTGTATCTTTTAATAAGTGTGTGATAATAAAAACTATAATTTGGTAACCGGAATTTCCAGTAAATCCTTGCCATATAAACGGAAAAAAATACCAAATGATTGGTTTAAGTACCATAGAGTTCAGTTTTTAATTCCAGAATTGTGAGGTTTTCTTTAACAGAAATGTTATTACCATATAGTACAGTAATTATACTAAATATTTTTTCTCCGTGTAATACTTGGAATAACAGAATTTGATTAGTAAAAAATTTAACTATCGGCATGGTTGTTGATCCATGGAATATTCTAATAAGCATAAGTAAAGTTACTTGAATGGCTGTACTGTAGTTTTGGTTCCATAAACAATTTCTCAGTCTAAGCACAAAATGTTTCATGCTTAGACTCCAAGGAAGGTTATAGTTATATAGATATTTAGATAACTATAATATGTCTATTCAAGTACCTTAATTTGTGTCTTATTTTATTCATGTATAGCAACAAGTATATACCATCCTCTCTTAAAAAGTGCACATAAAAGCATGTCCTTTTGACTTTTTATAAAACATTTTTTGTTATTCCAACATTTAACAAAACTAAACACGAAATATTAAGATACACTACCATTAATATTTCATTCTGTGAACTAATATTTGTTGATGGAAAAAAATGCTTAGGAAGTGAAAATTGGATTAGTTATTTAGGACAGCAGTTCCCAAATTGTGTTCCGCGGAACCCTAGGATTATATGGAGGAGTTAAAGGGGTTCCGAAAGTTAGGATTCTATTTTAAATGTGCCTTCTTATTAATATTTTCGAAAATCAATATTCTATAGTTGTTGTTGACGTATGCCTGTTTTAGGCAAAGGGGGTGCGATTGTTCTTGTTTTTCAGTGGCGCCATCTATGGCCAAGAATTCGACTTCTGTCACACCATTCGTCACACCCGTTCATAGGGCGAACCCATTCATACATCCATTCATTCATCCACAGATCGTAATTTTGACCTGAATCAGAGAACGATCGATCTCCAATCCAGTACCCCCAGAGGTATTGATTTGTTATGGGTACATGGAGAACTTTTGAGACTCGACAGATTTAACGTGCATCAGTCACTTTACAATACTACATGTATAAAGCATAAATAAAGTTACTTGAATGGCTGTACTGTAGTTTTGGTTCCATAAACAATTTCTCAGTCTAAGCACAAAATGTTTCGTGCTTAGACTCCAAGGAAGGTAATTGCTTCGGGTGGCGGGGTTCGAACCCACGAACTCTCGGACATGGGCCCAGTGCCCTACCGACCAGGCTATCCCGGCCCTATTCTGAGTATTCTGCGTAATTAATAACATTTTCTATTAATTACTCAGTTTTCCTTTTGAAATTATTTAAAATAAGATGCAAACAAGAGAAAAAATGGCAATTTTTTTTAAAAATTAATATTTTTTTAATCGCAATTTTCAAAATATATATTGAAAAGGATAAGTAATTATAAGAAAATTGCATTAGTATTTCCCATTGTTCTAAATTCATTAACATAGAAAAGTTTATTGCAGTTCTCTTTCATTTTCATATCAACGGAAATTATAATTCCACTTATTTTAATCATTTTCTGCTTACATATATTTTCCAAAAATAGATGAAATAGACTCAGCTCGAGCTTGGCGAATTCATCCATTAGACCAAAAACTTTAAATGAAACTTTAAACTTTTAATTTCTTTTGACGGAACTTCAACTTTAAGAAAGACAATAGGAACGTATTAAACATTTATTTTGAAAATATTTAATAAGTAGATATAATTTTACATCGTTTTATTATTAAATATCTTAGAGAAAAAAATTTCGAAGCGCATATTTAGAAGATATGGATTTAAAAATAAGATAAAATTTCATTACGCCTGTTTACTGAAGTTCGTTGCGAAACTTTTACAATACAATGATATTTATCATTAAGCCTATGTTTAAAATAATAATTATGTTTATAAATTTGGATTTGAATAGAAATTAATTTGCCCAGTCTAACTGTCAATTTTTTGTTTTTTCTTCAATAAAATCCAATGTCCAATTACGAAATACGAAGAATTACCAAAAAAATTACTTATTTACGTAAAATATAATATTATTCTAAACACGCATAGCGTACAGTCAAAACAAGTCTATTCTTTTCAAAACATATTCAATAATAAATAAAATCATATACTTTAAAAATTATTTGTTTTTAAAATGCCTGAAAACCATTTGAAGTTAAATATTTAAGTATCAATCGCAGAATTTTTAAAAGAAGTCAGATTCTGTTTCCTTATTATTAAATAATTTTTTTCGTAAATCGTGATTTAGATATTTTAGCTAATTTAATTTTCATATTCATTAAAACAATTTGATAAAAGACAACTATTTGTTTTTGAAAAACTAAAAACCATTTGAAGTTAAATATTTAAGTATTGAATATAGAATTTTTTTTCTAAAAATATTTTGAAGAATTAAGAAAATAAAGAGACATTTTTCTAAGCCTGACTTTATTTTAAAATATGTTTTTCTTATTATTCAATATCTCATTTTGTAATATAGTGATTTAGGTATTTTACTTCATTTCTGTCATTCATAAAAATAATAATGAAAAAAAAAAGTAAAACCTGTCTTTCAGGTCTTTGTAATTTTTTCAAATGCTTTTTAAATGAAAACTTGCATTATTATTTCTAAACATAATTCTATTTCAATTGTGTATACATGTTTTATGCGTATGTATTTGCGTATATATATACATATGCATGTGTGTATATAGATATAAATTATAGGGTTTTGTGTGCAATATCTTTAAGCTTAACTGGATATTTTTTATTTTCCCTTCTGTTATGAAAATTTCTTTACGTACTGTGTATGTACAGTAGGCGTGAAAAAGAAACGAATTACAATGAATAACTTTTGATTTAATGATCGGATGTTCAAGAACTCAGATTTAATGATTTTAGGGGCGACCTTAAATATGCCAATTAATTAACGTTAAAAAATTTCTAAATATAAAAAAAATCTCTTTGTTAAAATTCGATTTTTCAGAAATTATTCGAGAAACTTTGCCTAAGTTTTGTATTTTGCCATATGAAATTACATTCTTTAAATTGACGTACGAAAGATTTACACTTTATGATTCAAAATTTTTTCGATCATTGTTAAATAGAATAATAAAAAATTCTAAATATTTACGAAGCGTTATTTTTTTGTATTAAATTATCTTAGGATAAACGAATTTTATACTTGTGTGCAAAAATATTTAAATTCGTTTGAAAAAGTTTGCGAGCTAAGCCGAAATGCGCAAAAAGTAAAGTTAACATAAAAAGGTACAAACTTTGGACTGCTTTCCTGATCGAACTATTTTTTACCATATTTTCTATTATTTTTTAACGAAATATTTATTACCATATTTTTAAGATTGCAGCTAATCCTATGCTCAGACACACAAAAATTCAAGTTTGTCAAAAAATGTATCTTTATTTAAAGATAAATTACGTTTCCGCGTCTGTTTTCGTAAAATTAAAATATATTCTGTATTAATTAATGAGCATATTTGAGGTCCTCCTCTCGAGCCATTAAGAGTGAATCCTAGAACGTGAAAATTCGATTATTAAATTAAAAGTTCTGGGTGGTTCGTTTTCTTTTCTTTTTTTTTTTTTTGCGCACTGCGCAATATTTTGAAGAAAAAAAAATCTATATAGTTTCACATAATTTGTATGTTAAATATTTTCTATAACAAAATTTTGATTCTTTTTAAACATGATTCAAATTATATCGACTCCGATTATAAAAACTGTAGAAGCTTTGACGATAAAAACTAGTATTCCATTGCAAAAAGCTGTAGAGAAAATTTTGTAAATTAATACAAAAAGCTTGCACTTCATTAATAAGTATGCTTTTTAGGAGGGGAAGGTGCTATACTAACAGCTTGTGGTGCCGTTATTGGAATAGGAAATGATATAGCAGGAAGTATTCGTCTACCAGCTGCATTTTGTGGTATATACGGACATAAACCATCCACAGGTATAATTTATGATTTATTTATGAAAATAAATTTTAAATTAATAAACTTGTATTAAATTATTTGCCTGTTATATATCTTAAAATCTCTGTATATCCTTAACAGCTTTTTACTATAATTAGTAATGATTAAAAATACATAATTACCAATGCTTAAACACTATGAAAAATTCTGGACCAAATTAAGGTAAAAAGTTCCGGCTCTCAGGGTATCGGTAATTTCTACCATCAAATCCATTTTTATCGGAACCTGCTACATAACCAAAATCTGATATTCAGTAATAATTATAGCAAAATCACTGAACCCCTCTAATTAAACAATTACTTCTGAAAAATATACGGAATATTATTTTATGGTAAAAATTGATTTAATGGTAAAATGTATGTTACGAATGATGCACGAAAAGTACTGATACTTTGTACTCGAAATTTGATCCGTAATTTTTCACAGTGTAGTAGCGGATTAGTATGATTTTAACACTCTTTAAAAGAAAAAACGCTTTCCTGTTGTGTTGATTATTATTAAACATTAAATATTGAAAAAATTATAGAGCGCATGGCACATTTAAAATTTTTTGTCAGAATTTTCTTTTTTAGTATTGCATTTAAATGTTTAATCAAAAGAATCAAATTTAAAACTTTAACTATGCTACATTCATTATATTCTAATTCTGCAAATAAATCTATGTGGGAATGTCTTATTTGTTCATCTATTCGTGGGAATTTTTTCCTCATTTATTGAGGCTTTTTCTGTAACGAAACAGAAACATTTGGAATATCCTTTTTGAAAAAAGGAAAGTAAAACATTATGAATTTCACTTTATATTTATTTATCAAAAATTATTGTCTGTAGGTATATTTTCCTTCTTAAGTTTCTACTACCGCAACATACCTACCAAAATTATTAAAAAAAACATTAATGTTTTTCCCACCTATCATTTGAGTAAATAAAGAAAAAATAGCATCTCTTAAAGATTAACAGCCAATATATGCGATGTGATATAACCTATGCTGGCTTTATCAAAAAGTGTTAGTGAAAACCTATACAATAAAATATAATATAATTACCAATATGCAATAAAATATAAAAAAATAAATGACTAATTATTACAAAGTATTTTTTTAACTCAATTACATTTGAATAAACCGATCTCATTATTGTATGCTAAAAGATTATTGCTTTACTTAAAAATTTTCTGAGATATAGTAAAATACGTAAAAAGTGAAATTAACATTGTGAGGCCTCAGCTTTCATCCGTAAATTAGTGGAACCATATTTTCCAAATGCCGACCAGTCTGTGTAGGGGGCAGGGAACTGTCCTTGCATCAGAAAGGTTCTGGGTTCGAATCCCGGGCAAGGCATGGATGTTTCTTTCCCTCTATCTGTGTTCTATGTCCGCCCTATAAACGGGTTGTGGTAGTGTGACGTGGGCGACGTTGTTCCACCGCCGTGGCTTCGCCACAGGTGCCCACTGGGTAACGAAAAGAGAAGTAGCAGTTCTGGCGCTTTCTGTGGCCAATGGACAATAGCTCCAAGTGCCCGCCATTAAAAAATATATATATATATTTTCCAAATTGCAGCTATTCGTTATATTTTGATAGCTACAAATCCGAAACCCATTAAAAAAAGTCATGTTTATTCGAAAATTTTTTTTGTGATTCTGTAACTTAACTTGCAATTAATAGTAACTCTGATTAATTCTTATATTTGAGGTTACCTCTTGTAATGATTATTAATCATTATTATTGATTCTTCACTGGGTGAAAAAAGTATTGTCGACACTGAAAGAATATGGTCAAATTTACCGTCTTTCTGGCTCTATAAAAACACCAAAAATCTCAGCAAATTTCTTTGATGTGCTTTGGTAATGACTTTTTGAAAAATTTACAATAAAACATTTCGTTATAATAATAGAAGAAATCTGGTAATTTTATCATCTATCTTAATTTTTCTTAAAGCATGCCATGAAAACTATTCATTCGGTTAAAATTACTTTTCAGTTTTCTATTTTTTACTAAATGTGGAATAAAAAGAGCTATACTTTTAAAAACCAGAATTTCTGGTAAATCGTTACCAAATGAACGGAAAAATTGCCAAATGAATGATTTAAACACAGTATTTATGTTACCTTAACCAAAAATATGGTTTTCCACGAGGGTTTCCACGTTTAGTTGATGAAAATACGATTATTAAAATAAAAGTTAGTCATGGTGTTATCTTCAAAAATTTTTGCACTGTAAATGCATTCCTTTATCACCATGTATGAATTTTAAAAACTTAAACATGTATATAAATTTTTAAAGTCTGTTTTATTTTATTCACCTTCTATTAATTCAGGTATACATATGTATCTGAAACTTAAAATTTTATGAGCACCGAAATTTTTAAAAAAATAATACATTTCAGTTTAGTATTATCCTTAATTTATTTGTGCAAATAAATGTTTATTTTTTTAAGTTATAAATTAACACTCTTTGCATATGGAGACTAAAGTTACATAATGTTTTGCACCCCGATTATATAGCTGTTTGATAAAATTATGTTACCGATTACTTCAACAGTGAATTATAACTAAGTGCGTGAAAGTCTGCGATACGAGTGTTGCCAAATTCGAAATATTTTTGGCTTAAGTATATTATTTAAGAACACTAGACTAGCATATTTTAATAACTGATTAGGGAGCAGAGCTAGTACGAGACAATTCATTCTATGAGGGTAACGAGAAATAGAGGTCAAGGGGCGTAACTGTTCACAATGAGAAAAAAATCTGGTCAAAACAACCAGAATTGCAACCAGAATTACAACCAGAATTTGATAAAACTAACCTTGTTTCTAGCTCTATGGAAGCACCAAAAGTCTTGGTTTATTTTTAACGAAGTACTTTGATTTTCGTAAAATTAACAATAAAATGTGGTTTTATAATATGTAATATATTATTTCATAATATGTATATAATTTTATAAATTTANTAATTTTAAAATATGTATGGTGTTATATATGTACTATTTAAATAAAATTTCACATTTAGACTCGAACCACAAATTAGGACTTTAAAACTTTAAGGAACTGATGTTTTGTAATGTCCAAGTCTTCATAGACTGTGTAAAATTTAATATTTACAAAAATACAATCTTAGTTCTGATATGAAAAATTAATATTAATATCTGTGATCACAAAATAATGTTGAGGTCTTGTGTTGTTTACTTCATAGCTCTTATTCTATTTGAAATAAAACTTACATTTTAAGTTCACTTCAAAACTTGAAACTTATATTTAAGTTCACTTGAAAACGCATTTTATCTATTTTATTTTTTAAAATAATAATAATAAGGATAATAATTATGTATGTCTAGAAATTTGGTCATCTGAATTCTTTTATGATAGTTTATCAAATAAAACGTACACCACGTTGACAGTTTTCTATGAAATTGAACTATTTTTAATGAATGATATTTCGCTTGAAAAATGTAATTTAAAATTTTTAACTAATTATTTTCTTAAGTGGTACTCTTTTATTTTTCTGGACGCCCTTAAATTTAAAACGGTTAATTATTTGAACGCATGCAACTCCTCAAGTTTAAAATATCTAATGTGCATGAAACGTTTAACAATAATAATGATAAAACTTTATCCAGATTTAAGTACGAACATCTTTATTCATTAGCTGATTAGTTTCAAACTAATATAAGTCATATTTTAAAATTAAGTATTGAGGCATTATGAAAATTATTCATTTTTTGAACTTTTGTTCTTCTCGAAAAGCCATTAAGGCAAGGGGTGTGATTGTTCTTGTTTTCCATTGGCGCCATCTATATCCCAAAATTCGACTTCTGCCACACCTATACGTCACACCCGTTTAAAGAGCGGACCCATTCATACATCCATGCATTCTTCCACTGAGCATAATTTTGACCTGAAACAGAAAACTGTCAATCTCCAATTTAGTACCCTCAAAAATATAATTTGTTATGGGAAGATGGAGATCTTTGTGACTCGACAGATGCAACGTGCACCAGTCACCATTTACTACACGGGAAGTCTTTGGCCGGCCCTATCCCGCTCTATCCTACCAGGCTATCCCGGCTCTTTTGAACTGTTCAAAAATTTATATAGAATCCCAAAACATCAGCAAAACAATTTTTTGAAAAACAGCTAAAATATACCACTGAAGAAGTTTACGGTATATTTAAAATTTTCGAATTTCACACTCTTAAAAATGTATCAATTAATAAATGTCAAGAAATTTTACTTATAATTTGAAAACTATTATTATTAATTGCTTAACAAGTAAAGTATAACGTTCAAATAATAAGTGCAGGTGTTAATTATTGAAGTTTAATCTACCCTCTAAAAATTCCGGATCAAGTTACAGTAAATGTAACGACAAAATTTTACGGAACAAAGAAATCTGGTATACCGTAATTTTTACAGTAATGTTAATAGTATAATCTCTCATACACTGAAGTTAAATAATTATTACTATAAAGCATACGGAATAAAATTTTAGGATAAAAATGGATTTTAAGAAGCGAGGGTACCGATTGAATACCGAGGATACCGAAATGGATTTTAAGAGAGAGGGATACCGATTCTTTTTAGGGTAATTCTATCAGGACTTGTTGACAGTGTACTCTTGAACTTTAAAAAAAATGTCATTAATTTTTTTTTTATTTATTTTAAAAAAGACATTTTATTTATTAGGTTTAGTGTCCAATTTTGGTTTTTTCCCAAGTGATGACCAGGAAAATGAAAGCGTTGATGCATTTGTCAGTACAGGGCCTATGTGCCGATACGTTGAAGATCTTCCTCTTTTGATGAAAATTTTAGCCAAAGATGACAAAATGATTCATCTGAATAAAGAGGTATATTAACATTAGATATTCAATCATAATATTCATATCAAATCATAATAATATGTTAGTTGAACAGTAGAAAAAAAAACTGAGAGGTAATATCTCTCTAAATATGTAGTTAAACAATCAAAAAAATTGTGAGAAGTAACCTTTTATTTCAAGTTAACTCCAAATCCAGTTCTCATACACAATTTTAAAGAGTGTAATTTAAACACATATAGTAGAAAAAGCGAACGTCAAAATCACGTGCATTCGTAACAAACTAGAATTATATTCACTTCCGAAAATAATATTGGTTCACTTTGGATATCGTCAGTGATTTTCGATTGGAAATTTTAGTCAGGCAGAACACAAACCTGTGTACTGCATTATAAGTGAAATGACATACCTTAGCTCATTTTTTTTTTAACAAAAGTGACTGCTTAGCGTTTAAGAACAATTAGTTTTACATTTCTAGTAGCATTTGTTTAATTAGAGTTGCTTTGTATTAGCAACTTAAATGTGTTATCTCAATATTCCAGAACACATAGCAGAGAAGTGTGGGCACTTATTATTGACATCAGAGAATTGCTAAAACCCTGGTTAGGAATACATCAAAGTGCACAAAAATAGTAGCTAGTTGCGACATGAGGATCCGTTAAAAAATACCATGCAGCAGAAAACAAAAACATTTGTTCTAGAAGTTAACTTATTATTGCAAATCCATAAGCACTTTTATTCATTATAATATTCTTAAAAACCANTTCCAGAACACATAGCAGAGAAGTGTGGGCACTTATTATTGACATCAGAGAATTGCTAAAACCCTGGTTAGGAATACATCAAAGTGCAAAAAAATAGTAGCTAGTTGCGACATGAGGATCCGTTAAAAAATACCATGCAGCAGGAAAAAAAAACATTTGTTAACTTATTATTGCAAATCCATAAGCACTTTTATTCATATTAATATTCTTAAAAACCAGGAAATTAGGTGAAGAATTAATTTTAATTTCTGTTAAAGTATTAATTTTGGGGGAAATTTTTCTATCTTGAAGACATAGCTATTTAATTTTTCCACCGGCAGTAGCACTTGTGCATTTTTTCGGCCTGATTTGGCTTTATTTTCCACTGATTTCGTTTTTTCAGAACGCAAACAGAACTTTCGTACACCAGAACAAGTCACAGAATCACCAACTTGTCTTGCAATTTCAGCATAAGAGAGGCAATTTTCTCTCAATATGAAAATTCGGCTTCTTTTTGTAGATTTCCAATTAGTTCTACTTGTTGATGACATTGTTTAAAATTAGTTTAATTAAAAAAAGGACTGTAAATATTCAAAAACAGCAATACTCTATTTAATTGTACTAGTATGCATCATTCCGCAAAATATTTCCACAACAATAACTCTTTTACCATCCAAATAACCTAAACTATAGTTACAGACATTTGATTGGCCCTAAGAACAGTGTTTGTGACTTTCTATCACGCTTTTATTACAAAACACGTCCTTATTCAGAACGATTTGTGTTTGTTTGTTCTCCTAAAATGAGCATAACTTTTTTTTGCAATACAGATATTTTAATTTTTTTTTTTATTATTAAATTTAACGTTAAATTACTTTCATTTGATATATAAACGTTTGTATTTAAGTGAAAATGAATATATTCTACAAGCACACAAAGTTGAAAAACATACAACTTTCAAAAAATGTCCACACTTTTGGCCACCACTGTATATATATATATATATATATACACAGTCCAGTCACATTAATGTGACCACCACCTACTTTCAACGTCAACGTAAAATAACCAATCACAGAGTGCAGGTGGCAGGACATTACAGTGCAGTGCATATATTGGATGTCCTAGGGCATCGAAAAGCATTTCAGTCGTTGGCGCAATGCAGAAATGTAGCGATTTATCCGACGTTCAAATGGGCATGATTATTGGCTTTCGGGCCAGGGGTGGAAGCAGTTCGAAAACGACTGATTTTGTGAACTGTTCGCGCTTCGCCGTGACAAAAGTATACCGCACATGGCAAAATGGCACCATACAAAACAAGCGGCGTGGCACATGTGGTGCACCACGGGCCAAAGCTGGCAGAGGCGAACGAAGGCTACGGAGATGCGTTCAGACAAATAGACGTGCAACTGTTGAGCAACTGACCGTCCAGATGAACCAAGGGGCTACCAAGAGTGTATCCTCAACAACTGTTCAGCAATCGTTGCTGCGCATGGGCCTCCGCATCAGACGCCTGGTTAATACACCTATGCTGACTGCTGTTCATCGGTGACGAAGGCTGGAATTTGCACGCCAGTACCGCAACTCGACATCCACAGAGTGGCATCAGGTGGCTTTTTCCGATGAATCACATTTTATGCTCCGTGGGACAGATAGCGGTTGGCTTATACGGCGTGAACCGTCTGAAAGCAAACATTCTGCAACAATTGCCTGAAGGCTGCAGGCTGGAAGAGGGAGCGTTAGGGTTTGGGGAATGTTCTCCTGGCATTCACTGGGTGCACTCATCATTGTAGAAGGCACGATGGATCAGTACAAGAACGTATCTGTCCTTGCGGACCATGTCCAACCCTACATGCAAATGATTTTTCCTCAGAATGATGGCTTCTACCACCAGGACAATGCAAGGTGTCATACAGCTCGCAGTGCATGTGCGTGGTTCAAAGAGCACCAGAATGAATTTATCGTACTCCCCTGGCCAGCAAACTCAGATTGGGATTTAATCCCAATCGAGAATCTGTGGGACCACCTCGATCGGGTTGTTTGCGCCATGGATCCTCAACCGCGTAATCTAGCGCAGCTGGCCACGGCACTGGAGTTGGCATGGCTCAACACCCCAGTGAACACTTTCAGAAACCTAATTGACTCTCTTCCTGCGCGTCTCGTAGCGGTCTGCTCTGCCAAAGGTGGTTATTCTGGCTTTTGACAGGTGGTCACATTAATGTGACTGGACTGTGTAGTAGGGTAAACTAACCAGTGAAGGAACACTTAAGCTTAGCTTGCCTTTAAAAAAATCATAAAAATTTCAAAATTTGTAATTTTAGCTAAATGACGGTGTTGACATATTTGATATTAAATGCAAATTATGTAAAACTTACATAATATTGTTTTAAGCTTTTGGTGGCTCAAATAATAAGTAGTAAGATAACCAAGTGAAGGAACAGTTCTTACCAGTGAATAAACACTAAATTATCCAGTGAATGAACAATTAATTTTGAGAATGCTTGATGCTCGTTAGGAATCCATAGGCCACACCAATGTCAAAAAACAAGATTTTTCTTGGAATTACAACATATAACCACAGTTAACGTGGAAAATTTTNTTTCAACAAATTAAATTTTTAAAACTCCAGAAATTTTGCACAAAATTTATCTGTTCGTCAAAAGACTAACTATTTTGAATAACAAAATCGTACAATATTTATAGTATAATGGCTACAATTGCTATGAGTCTTGTTGAAATTTTAGACAAAGTCTATCTGTTCCTCAAAAGATCTACTATTTTGACTTACAAAAACGCCCAATATTTATAGTATGATGGCTACAATTCCTATGACTCTTGTTGAAATTTTGGACAAAGTTTATTTGCTCGTCAAAAGACGTACTATTTTGAATAACAAAATCGTACAATATTTATAGTATAATAGCTACAATTGCTGTGAGTCTTGTTGAAATTTTAGACAAAGTCCATCTGTTCCTCAAAAGATTTACTATTTTGACTTACAAAAACGCCCAATATTTACAGTATGATGGCTACAATTCCTATAACACTTGTGGAAATTTTGGACAAAGTTTATTTGCTCGTCAAAAGATCTACTATTTTGATTTACAAAATTGCCCAATATTTGTAGTGAGAGTGTTAATACTGATCTGATACATGAGTTTAATTTATGACTACCCTGTCATGCAAATGAAAAAAACATGGCCAGTGCAAATGTTTCGTAAAGCACTTATATTGTTTTTTCCAGATGCACGACAGTACTGTATTTTATAAATAATTAGTTTTATTTTTTCCCTGTTTAAGGTGGACTTCCGTAAAGTGAAAGTGTATTTTATGGAAGGATTTCCTGATTTTCTTTTAAATCCTGTACCTGCTGTGAGAAAAGCCGTTAAAAAAGTAAGAATTTGATTGTTTTGAAATTTTGAAATAGTTTATACTATAGGTTTACAATTTGGACTCTATTACTGCTCTTCAGTAAGCATTGAAAACTTCTAAGGGAAACGTTGGTATTTTCCAGAGAATATATAAAAACTTATATACATAAGAAAACATTTTGTAATATCAAGTACAATTTAGATTTAACATTTAGTTTTGTATTGTAAAACCAATACACATTTAACTTTATATGAAGTCAAATATACTGCTTTAATAACACATGCATGTGTTACTTTGTATATGTCATTAAAGTAGTAATGCAGCATTTTATTGAGGAAAAATTGCTAATCAAATTTTAGAGAGAAAAAGAATGATATTTTAGCGGTTCGGCGCAAAAAAGTTTTGCACTTGGAAGTTTGAGGTGATCTAATGATCGGATCTTCACGTTCTAGGATTCAATCTTAATAATTGGAGGGGGATGACCTCAAATATGCTAATTAATTAGTGCAGACAATATTTAAGTTACAAAATCAGACACCACATACTTTCTCTGAATAAACATACCGGATGTCAAACCCCCCAAAAATAAGGGGTAGCTGCAACCTGGGAAATATGAAACCCATAGTTTGATCGGAAGAGCTATCCAAAGTTTGGACCACATAATGTTAGTTTGATTTTTCGCGTATTTCACCATATCTCGTAAACATTTTAATGGATGTAAAAAATTTTTGCAGACAATTATAAAATTCGAATAGCCAAAGATAATTCCGTGCAAGGAGTAAATTTCAGTAAATTTACTTTTAAGAAGTTTATTATTTTTGTACTATTTTATTTTAATAATAGTCGGAAAGATTTTTGAATTGTAAGGTACACAATTCTTTACATCCTTTTAAAGTATGTAATTGTACAAGGCAAAATACAAAATTTGAGCGAAAAAGGTTGGATAGTTCTTAAAAAATTGAATTTTAACAGAAACATATGTTTAAAAATCGATTTTTCAAAAACTATTCAACTGATTTTGATCAAATTTTGAATTTTGTCACGCAAAAGTACACAATTTAAAATGATATAAAAAACTGTATACCTTGCAGTTCAAATTTTTTTCGTTTGTCATTAATAAAATAATGAAAATTAATAAATATTTACTAAAATTTATTTTTCGCGAGTTTTATAACTGTTTGTTAAAATTTTTTAATTAGCTTGAAAAGTTCTCGAGATATGGTAAATACACAAAAATAACATTAGCATTAAGGGGTCCAAACTTTGAATCGCTCTTCTGACCAAACTATGGGGACCATATTTCCAAGGTTCTACCCCCCTATATTTTGGGGGTCTGAATCCGTTGGAAAAAAAAGGTATGCTTATTCAGAGAAAGTAGGTCTTTGTGTCTAATTTCGTAAGTTAAAATATCGTCTGCACTAATTACTTAGCCTATTTGAGGTCACCCCCTCGAACCATTAAGATTGAGTTCTAGAACGTAAAGATCCGATCATTAGATCTAAAGTTAACCAGATTCGTCCGTGCTTTTTCTCTTTTTCGCGCACTGTACTCGCATTTCCATCTCAGATTTGAACAGCTTAATTTTTGAAAAATTATACTGTAGTTTTCTTTCAGATTACTTTCTTTCTTCAGTTTTCTTTCAGATGTAGTTTTCTTTTACTGTCAGAAATATTTTGACAAATTGTAATAAGGTAGTTTGATATATTTGATTTTCATTTGTTTTCCATTCATGTTTTTTTTTACACATTTGTAGCACTATTTTTAGTAAATTTGTGAAATAAAACAGTAATTCAGGGAGGAAAAACTTATTCCCTGCCACAAGCATTTTTTAACCCTATTTTCGTGTTTTTGTTATACATTTTTATAAACTATCAGTCTAATTTCAGACACCCAGTGCATCATTATAACGTTTTATTACGAGATCTTAACATCCTTAAGCTTCATCAAAAGTCGCCACATAAGTTTAATATTTTTGTATTCTATTATTTTTTATTAATTTATGATTTATATATTATTGCATCATGCATTTCAAATAAATTAGTGCCTTCATTAGTTTAAATAGCTTTTTAAAATTCTCAGACTGCAAAAGTTTAATAAGCAAGATAGCATTTCTTTAAACTGTGGATATTAAATAGTCGATTAAAGAAAATGAGCTGTTGTCAAGTTCTGAAAAGCCTGAGTACGCTTTTTCCATTGAATTGTATAGCATTTTCGAATAAAAGTTCAGAATTTCCCCTTTGGATACCTGATGCTTTTATCTGCCAAACACTTACTTTCAAGACAAATATAATTTTCAAAAAAAAAACATATTCGATAAAAACACAATTTATAATTTTATTTAAAGTTTGTATTTTGTTAATAAAGTGTTTGTTTTTTAGGCAGCAAAGTATTTTGAAGATAAATATGGAATTACAGCTGTCTCATTAAATATTGAAGAGTTAGGCGATTCTATGACTTTATGGCAATGTAAGCTTTTGGAAGCTGGCTGCCCTCCCTTTCCGGTGATTCTCGCCAACGGAAATGGTCAAGTGAATATGTGGTTGGAACTCATTAAAAGCCTCTTCAGAAAATCGGACCACACATTGCCTGCCATTTACTATGGCCTCATCGAGAAATGCGATAAGGATGATTTTTACTACGAATGTCTTAAAAAATATAAAACTTTGGAGGAGAAATTTTCGACAATTTTCAACGAAGATGCCATTTTGTTAATTCCAACTTACCCTGAACCTGCTCCCCATTACCTTATGACGATTCCCAAATTCGCCAATTGTGGCTATACTTCTATATTCAGCATATTAGGTTTTCCATCGACCGCAATACCTGCGGGTATGAGCTTTGGTGTCCCGATTTCAATCCAAGCTATCAGTGGAAGGCAAAAGGATCATTTGACAATATCAGCCGCACTTGAGTTAGATAAGTTGTTTGGAGGATGGAAAAGTTCATGCCATACCTAAATTTAACAGGCTTCCCAGAACCATGTTTTATGTGGTTGTTTCATTAGATTCAAGTTCATATTTATTAGATTCATTATTATATTTTGTAAAAAAGCTACTAAGAGTTTGTTTTATTTTTCAAAACTTGGAGAGAAAAAAATTAGAGGGAATTTTCAGGTAAGATGCTACTTAGTTAAAATCAATACATCTTGAATCTTCTCCTCATCAGGGCTACAGAGATTTTAATCTGTATTCTCATCAGGGCTTCACTCTTTAGCCTTGGCTCCTTTATTATCTTATGACAGTGTTTCCCAAAGTGTGGTACGCGTACCCCCAGGGGTACGGGAACAGTTTAGCGGAGGTACACGTTCTTGTGCAAAATATCTTGCAACAAGCGAAAATTTCAAAAACTTTTATTTAAAAACAAAGCTAGCCATGAAAATTTACGATTATGTATTTTTCTATAGGCTATTTTTTGCAGAGTTGACAGTTAATAATTAGTGATGTCAACAGCCAGTTGTGATTTTTAAATTTTGTGCAATTTTTTTATAGCAAAGGTTTGTAATAAATTCTACTTGTTTTGATTATTTTTACAAAATATAATTTTTATTCCTAACATAGAATATGGATCGCTGGTTGTTATCTACAGAACTTTGTACCAAAAAGAAACATATTTTTAAAAAAAATACAGTCATTTTTTTGTTAGTGGTACACAGCATTACGAAAAATGTAGAAAGGGTACACAAAAGTCATAAGTTTGGGAAACACTGTCTTATGACGATTCCTGAATTCGCCAAATGTAGCTATACTTCTATATTTAACATATTACGTTTTCCATCTGTGAGCACTATCTTTTATTTATATCAAATATATAACGTAATTATTACCAAAGAGGTGTTTCTCGGAAAAATTAGCATTCAAGATATTTTTTAACATAAAATTGTTTTATGATACAACAAATTATACCTTAATACCCCTGTACGCTTCCTTTTTTTTTTGAAGGAAATGAAAGTAAATTGAGAGAGTGAATAAAGTTTATTTTAGACAGGCATATTTTCAGACTTATTTTTTCCTGCAAAATTGATTGAGGTAAATCTCCAGAGGATCGGACTAGTGAGGCATTGTTTGAGTGAGACATTGCTTCGATGAATGTTTTCTCGCTGAATCGAATAAGATTACATCCAAAGCAATAGAACAATGAATTCAAAAGCGGAAATAGTTTTAATGTGTAAAATGTACCAATTTTCGGACGGGGGTTCGCATTTCTATTTAAAAACTATCTGTACATTTTTCATTGTAATTTCTGACGCTAACCTGAAAGAGACCATTTCTGAGAACGGTTTAATCATTTAGAAGCTTAGGGTTTTCTTCACAATAAGTGCAACAAGAGCTATCTGCACATTTTTCGTTGCAATTTGTGACGCTAACTTGAAAGAGATCAATTTTGAGAACAGTATAATCGTTTAGAAGTTTCGAGTTTTCTTCACAATAAGAGCAACAAGAACTATCTGCACATTTTTCGTTGTAATTGGTGACGCTAACTTGAAAGAGACCACTTCTGAGAACAGTATAACCGTTTAGAAGTTTAGGGTTTTCTTCACAATGAGTGCAACAAGAGCTATCTGCACATTTTTTGTTGTAATTTGTAACGCTAACTTGAAAGAGACCACTTCTGAGAACAGTATAATCGCTTAGAAGTTTAGGGTTTTCTTCACAATAAGTGCAACAAGAGCTATCTGCACATTTTTCGTCGTAATTTGTGACGCTAACTTGAGAGAAACCACTTCTGACAACAGTATAATCGTTTAGAAGTTTAGGGTTTTCTTCACAATAAGTGCAACAAGAACTATCTGCACATTTTTCGTTGTAATTTGTGACGCTAACTTGAAAGAAACTAATTCTGAGAACGGTTTAATCGTTTAGAAGTTTAGGGTTTTCTTCACAATAAGTGCAATTCAAAAATAGTACTTTTTATTGAAAAAAATAATAGAATTTTTATTTTTTATTTTTTCGCATTCCGATAAAGGAAAAAAAAACACATAGGAAATAATATCTCAATTGTTTGTAGCTGAATATAAGATGCGTAAATAAGTGCAGATACCAAATTGTATTTTTTGTTATAAAATGCTTGTAATTTCCAAACTATATTAATGATTGGTCTTCTTCAAATTAGAGTGAAAGAGTATGTCGTAAAATTTGCCTCACTTGCCTGACTAAAAGAAATTTAATTCTCCTTTTCATATCACCCCCATTTCCCCCCAGAAAATGGAAGCGTACGGAAGAAAGTGTAGAAATTTCCACGTATCCTCTATGACAGCATAACAAAGCTTTTTTTAGTCAAAAATGTCTTTGGCATTAAATTGTTTGAAGACAAAAAAAATCACATTTTAGGGGACTGAAAGCTATCAGTAGATGACAAAAAGATCATTTGACCATCTGATGCAGTTGCTTGACAAGTTGTTGTAAAGAAAACAAAGTTTATGCCACAAATTTACTTAACATATCGTCAGGAATCCAATATTTTTTTGTCATTTACAGTCAAGTGTATACAATATTATGTTTTATGTTGCAGCTAACAAAATAAAAGAACCTTTTATCTTGACTACTAAATAAATAACATAAATGTGTCACAGAAAAAATATTACGAAACAAAAAACAAATAAAATTTTATTGCTTAATTTAACAAAAAAATCTCATCTTGTGAGAAAAACACAAGAAAAAACTTCAACTAAAAGGAAGAAAAAAATGTTCCACTAATTCTTTCAAAAAAAAAAGAAGAGAAAAAGCGAATCACCAATGCAATATGTCATTTTTTAATTTTGCGCTTTTGCTAACCTTTCTAAATATGACTCGTCAATCTTCAACAGCAATTTAAATTATGTTTTTTGTTGAGAATAATCGTCTGCTACTATGTCAATTTTCAGCATTCTTTATTGCACTCAGAAATTATTTTATATCTAGATTTTATAGGGAAAATCGGTAAACATTTTCGAATAAGATGCTGTTTTGTTAATTCAAGAGAATCTAGAACTTATAATCTTATGATATAGTTCTCAAACTTGCCAATTGTGCATGTACTTATGAATAGTAACAACAGGTACAAACTTTGGTATGACAATTTAAAGTTGGACTATTTACGGAAGGTATTAAGATCATTTTACGATGTTTACATTACTTGAATAATTACTTAAAATTATTTGGAGAAAGTTGAAGTTGTTACCATAATTTCAATTGTAAGTTATTTTGAATGTATAGATAGATGTATATTTATTAAATTGTTATGTTTTGTTGTGATTTTATTTCAAGTTTGTCATGTTATGAGTCGAAATAGTAATAGTACAAACAAATATAAATATTTTGTTCTAGAATATTTTTAGACTTGATTTTTTGAATTTTGTTTTACTTATTCGCGATCGCAACGCTCGAGTACGCCGTCTAGCGGGAGCCTGTAATTATCAGACATTAATTTATCACGTTTTCATTTAGTTCCATCGAAATCATTGACAGAATCAGACGCCATTTTTTAGCAGCAAATAAGAAAAAAAATTTCCCTAAGGAAAAGGCCGAAGAACTTGAAAAAAATCTCCAGAATATTAGTAAATCTTTCAGGAACAGAACACGCCAAACATTTGAAGAAAAATTCCTCAATAATTTTTAATTTCTATTATCAACAAACTTGCAACTGATGACTTCCGATTTCGGATACTGTTACAGATGTGTGTATTAAGGTAAAATGCATTTCTTCTGTCTTCAATTCATTACGAATTAAAGTGAAGTCAACATTGCTTTCGTCATTCCAGTGAATAAATATGAATTCAGAACATACACAATTGTAATNGAATGGTTTTCTGCGTCCGATTATGAATCAAAAAAGAAAAAAACATGAAAGTTGTTTATTTTAATGTAAGGAAATTTTAGAATTGGTTTTTTCTTTTTTGCTTTGTATCGTAAGCATTCTTTATTTTACGTTTTTTAGTTTCTAAATAATGATTTTTATTAAAACTTAAAATTTTTTGATAAAAATGTTTGTCAAGGAACTTTTTTAACAAAATTAAATTAAATAAAATTATGAAGCTTATGTATACTTTTTGCTTATTTTAATGTTTGAAGTAATATGATTCTTAAAACTATGGAATGCAAAGTTTAAATAGGCCTCTCAGGTTATATCATTAAATTTAGTAAAACTATTTCTCAGGCATTAGGTTTAATTCTAATAAGAAGATACATACTTTTTCTGTTTATTTACAAATATTTTTCAGATGTGTTTTGGATGTTCCTTCTTTTAAAAAAGCGATGCCATCTTGTTTTCGGTTGCATAAGAAAGGATATCAAACATTTTTCTTTTTTAACTTTAATAAGCTATGATAAAGAAGGAACGTTAAGATGTTACACGCTACATTAAAGACGTCTCCAGAGTAACTGAATGACTGTTCATATGGAATTCGCTGGTATTAGTCTCATACAACAACGCCCCCTATAGTTCGTTGCGATCGCGAATTATAAGTTTAATATATCCTAGTACTTAACAATAGTGTACGACCTTCACGGTTATTTTGACGGTTATTGAATGTTAACATATTTCGATAGTTTTGACCATGCTTTTTTCGTACAGTAAGATTTGATAAAGATTTTATAAGATGAGCAAGCAATTTAATTAAAAATTAGTTTTGACGCACTTTCCTATGAATTATTTAACTTCGGTTTTCTGGGTTAGGCTTTTCTCAATGACCTAAGCAATTATATGCGATTTTCATTTTTCTCCAAACTTTTCACTGAAAATAAGTTATGTTGTCACATGGGTGTCAATTCATCTGGTGGATGACTTAAACGTGTCTGTTCTTTCTGCCTTGGATTTCGAAACAACGGGAAAAAAATGGTATGGGAGAAAATTTTATAATTCTTTTATAGGGCAGTATCATTTAGATGTTCTGTTTAATCTTCTATTGAATTTCTTTAAGAAAAACCGAGATATGAAAAGACTATTTCGTTCCTTTCTTTCTTTATGATATATGCCAGTCTGTTTGTTTATAAAAAATAAAAGCATGTGTGTCAACTGATGATTTTAGCACAGGTGCTTTTATCAGCAGTTTTGAAACGATGAGGAGATTTGTAAACAGTTGTCATTTTTTTTGTAATAGTTTAAACAGAATTTAAAAAGAGGTTAATCAAAAGGATTGTTACTGAAGAAATTTTCTTTTTCTGCCTTTTTAAATTGCTTCGCTGACTGACGCAACAGTTTTTCCTAAATTTTACTATGATGAAGACGGTGTTGAAAATATTAAAACCAGTTTGATTGTGTAATCTAACTTAAAGGTATTTCAAATAATCGTTTTTTAACTCCTCACTATTTCATCAGAAAATCAAACAAGTCTTTACGTTTTTAATCTCTTACTAAGAACAAAAAAGTATGAACCAGACTAGAATATGGAATATGGTAAAATTTACCGCGCTTCTGGCCCTTATGGGAACGCTGCAAAAATCTGAGTAATTTTTACCGATGTATTTCGGTAATAATTTTGGTAGGGTTAACAGTAAAGTATGCTTTTATAATTTGTAGTAAAATTTGATAAATGTGATAAAATTTTGTAATTTTATAATGACGTCCTAGAACTTGAAATAAAATCCATCTACTCAGTTACACCATCCCGGTTCCAGGTAGAACACCGAAGACGAGCGTCAGTAAGTGATGGGGTGACCACTTTGTTTAGCCTGCGTAGGAACCGAGGGTGCCTACTATCGGTCCTCGCTAGACTATTCTGCAGTTAAGTACTCGACTTCGCGCGCAAGTTATCCAGCTACTAAAACGAGGGAGCTATCCCCTCTGCAGAAAATCAAAATTGCGATGGTATGCCTGAGGATAATCCTCAGGGGTGTTTTCTAGACCGTCGCCAATAGCCCATCGTGCAGCTCTAGTGTGGCGTAAATGAATTACCTATTACCTAAATCTTTTCAGTTTAGTATTTGTACTAATAACAAATATAATTCTGAAAACCAGAACAAGGTATAACATTACCATATTAACGGAAAAATTTATAAATGAATGTTTTCCCCATACTTTGGATTTTATTACCAGAAATGTTTTTACCATTCATTGCGATTACTTTCGTGGAACTGTTTTTTAGCGCTCCTATCTAGTAAGATAGTCGAGTTTTGAAATCATTTTTTCCCACCTTGAAATATTAATTTGTGACCTCTGAAGTATAAACTTTTTTTTATTCATTTTTGACAATGATATTAAAAATATACTCTAAAGACAATGAGTATGTAGCATTTCATGTATGTAACATTTTATATAAGAAAAGTAATAAGAGTAATAAAAAATTTTCGATTCAATATTTTATTAGTAGTATGGTACCCAAAATGCGGCCAAAAGCTGAGAATACAGTTTTGATTAGTTGGAAAAACGTTTTGAAATATTTATATGAAATTTCAAAGATTAATTCGAAAAAAGCAATAAGCATTTTTCTATTGATACATCAACAATTTTAATTGAGTTCTGAGTGGGTGTGGCTTACGTAAAAAACCGAGCTAGCAATACTTTATATGTAATTTACTTGCTTATCAGTATTTTAATTTAATGCTTTTTTAAATACTTTTTACGCATCACTTCATTTTTATGTATCCAATAATTTTTATGCGTTTTTCTCCCAATGCCCGTCTGGGGAATGACTTACGCCATATAGGCATTTGTTTGTCACTTTTTCAGGGACACCATATTAGGTGGGCCAACGTTGCTCTCACAGTAATTACAGATAATGAAGGAACATCCATGTCTTGCCTGGGATTCGAACCCAGAACCTTTCTGAAGCAAGGCCAGTTTCCTGACCCTCTACACAGACCGGTTGGCTCTTTGTGAAACAATGATTTTTCTTTTCCAATTTGCCCAACTCCTTAGAGCTGAAACAAATTATATAAAAATATTTTAGTCAACTTTTTTTAGGAAATGATATTCATAAACTATGTCATTATTGCAATTGTGAAATTATATAGAGGCCTCAAAATGTAAAAATGTTAACTATTCACAAACATAAACTTTCAAACTTGTTTTTCTCTTTTTGTTATCATTTTAATGTTTTCTTGTATAGAAAAGCCTGAGAAATATTATGTACAATAATCTTTATGCATTTTTCTTTGTGAAACAATGATTCGTTTTTTTTCAATTCACCCTACTCCTTTTGAGCTAAATCAAATTATATGAAAGCATTTTATTCTGCTTTTTTATAAAATGACATTCAGAAACTATGTCATTGTTGCAATTATGAAATTAAATAGAGCTTCAGAATTTAAAAATGGTAACTATTCACAAACATAATTCTTCAAACATGTTTTTCCTATTTCTATATTTTCTGTTACACAAAAACCTAAGAAATATTGAAAAAATTTTCTTATTGCAACTGTGCAGTAATGATAAACTATGTCATTGTTGCAATTATGAAATTAAATAGAGCTTCAGAATTTAAAAATAGTAACTATTCACAAACATAATTCTTCAAACATCTGTTTCTCATTTTTATATTTTCTCGTGCACAAAAACCTAAGAAATACTGACAAAATTTTCTTATTACAACTGTGCAGTAATGATAAATTATGTCATTATTGCAATTGTGAAATTAAATAGAGCTTCAGAATTTAAAAATGGTAACTATTCACAAACATAATTCTTCAAACATGTTTTTCTAATTTTGTTATAATTTTTATGTTTTCTCCTAAGACATATTGACAAAATAAGATTGGGTCTGGAATAAAGGAAACTTTTCATAAAAATGTCAAATATCAGACTTAATAAAAATGTTGATTATTTATACAAGTTAACTAGTTTGATTATTTACACAAGTTACAAGTCTGTAAAATGGAATAATAATAAAATTTAATTAAAGGTAACAATCATATTTTAAACCATTACTGACCGCATACTTTTGAAGAAAACCGTCATAAAATTGCCTGTTTTTTATACAAGAAAATTGCATAAAACTAAGTGTATGTTCCATACATGTGTTTTATATTAATTTGGGGTAAATTTTTGGCCTGCAATAAGAAAATTATAATTATAGTATAAAATAAACTATCTCTAAACGCATAAAAATAGTCTGTTATTGTCATTTGGTTCATTACTTCTGAACACTCCAGCCCTGAAATATCACGGGCACGAGAAATATCGGATGAAACTCCGTGATTTTGACGGCAGGAAACACAATAGGAATAATAAATAAATATAATAAAATAATTGGATATAATAAGACAAATTAATAGGATATAATAAGAAAAATCAATAGGATATAATAAGAAAAATCAATAGGATATAGTAAAAAAAAATAAACAAAATAAAATTATTTGAAATAAAACGTTCTTGTAAGTATTCTCATGTACATACTGCTATTTTTTTAAATAATTTCTCAAATATTTGATACTTAAAGTAAATTTTAATATTTAGGCGGACTGGCTGGTTTGACCATATTATATTTGCAGAAAAGACATGCTAGGTGCTTTTAGTTTTAGAACGAAATAAATAAATATAATTTCTATTAAAAACAATAAATTTATAGAATAACCATTTCGGTTACAAGGGAGTTGCTAAGTTTTTTTGTACATTTTAACTCTGTCACAAACCAATAAAATGTTGCAAAAGAGAGAACAAAAACTTTTCCAAAAAAGTAAACATTTCAAGATCTATTGCAGTTGAAATATATAAACCTCATTTTGTATATATATTCATTATACACACTTTTCAGTTGTTTTCGCCTTATTTGCCTTGCAAATAAAGCGTGAAAATTTAAAAAAAAATTAATAACTAGCATGAAACTATTTTTTTTCCAATTATTTACTCACTTTTTTTACCTTTTAGATAATGACTATTTATCCATTGTTGTAGAGATGTATTTCTCAAGATCTTCATTTTATAAGCTTGTGAAAGACTTGGCGTCAAAAGTAGCAACAAAAAAAAAAGAATTAAAATACTAAACAATTTAGAAAATCGGAGAATATGTGTGGCCAGATATAAATCTTAACAATATGTATTGGTTTTTTTAAAAATATAAAAAACTTAAGAGAGTTTATTACTTGAGATTTGAACTTTTATGTAATATAAAGTTATCTTTATACATTATTAACAAACAAAATCCCTTTTCCTTGTTCCTTTTCTTGTATCGAACATTCTGCATTCATAAATTAAAATAACTTTCTTTTCAAGTACATTGATTATTTTTCGAATCCAAATAACAAATCATATATTTATGATTAGTAGTTTGAAAAAACGTTGATTATATGTTTAATAAAAAATTATCTTCGATTTGTTTAAAAAAAATATTGATTTCTAACAATATTTAAATAAATAGAATAGCATTTCAATTTATTTAAATAAATAAAATGGCAACGTAAATGCGAATCAAGCACAGGCATTTGTAATCAGAGCAAACCGAGGGTAAACCCCCAGTAAAATTGTCGAATTTTCATGGAACAACATTGTTGATTTGTTTTAAAACAATATTGACTTCTAAGAATATATAAATAAATAGAATATCATTTCAATTTACTTAAATAAATAAAATAACTATGATAAACAGGAAAGAAGCATAGGCATTTGTAATCAGTGATCACACAGGGTGGAATGCCCTAGTAAAATTGTATAATTTTCATGAAACTACATTGTTGTTTTGCTTTAAATTAATATTTACTTCTAACAATATTTAAATAAATAGAATAACAATTTGATTTAGTTAAATAAATAAAATAACAGTGATAAATGAGAAACAAGCACAGGCGTTTGTCCGCAGTGATGACACAGGGTGGTGCCCCCCTATTTAAACTGTAAATTTTTCAGAAAACTATATTGTTGTCTTGTTTTGAAAATATATTGACTTCCAAGAAGAATATTTAAATAAATTGAATAACAATTCGATTCAGTTAAATAAATAAAATAACAATGATAAATGAGAAGGAAGCAAAGACGTTTTGCAGGTAAGTAAACTCATAAAATGGGCAAACGAGCATTATTTCTCCCATATATATAAATCAATAACAGCTAAGCATCATTAAAACTAAGCACCATTAAAACTAAGCACAGAATTGGGTGAGTTTATATTGTAGTAATTGAGGAAAAAGGGGAGAAGATAGAAATGCTGCTCAAATCGGTAATGTTTCGTCTCTCATTATACATTGTGTGTGGATGCTTAAATCTTTAACCGAATATAATTCTTAGATATTTCACTGTAAACTTTGTCTATATCGATATATCTGTATGGTAAGCTTTTTAGTATTTACAAAAAAGTTATCTTTTGGAATTGAAACAGTATTATAATTTCAGTAATTATTATAATTTTTTTTCTAAAATAGAGAGCCCCGCCCAGGCTTGTTTCGCAATAATACTAGTTTCTTAACGGTAAACTGAGTGTTACGTCAAAATTTATTTTAAAATAATAAAAACATTGAACATTTCAATAAAACATTCAAAATTTCTTTAATATATTTAAGCACTGAGAAAAAAAGTGTGATCGAAATTACCAGAATATGGTAAAATTTAGCGTGTTTCTGGCTTTGTGGGAACACCAAAAAGCACGGTAATTTTCACCGAAGGTAATTTTACTGTAATTATTTTCGAATTATTGGCTTTGGAAAAAGTGACAGTATAATATTTTCTAATAATATTTGTTAAAATTAGGAAAATTTATTAAAATTTGGTCATATGCGTAGATACCATAAAGCTTGATATAGAACCCTTTTATTCTATTAAATTTAATTTTCAGTTTTGTATTTTTACTAAATGTGTGGTAATTTTCGGAAAATCCATTACTATATGAACGGTAAAACGGTAAAACTAAAAAAATGAAGGGTTTAAATACCGTATATTTTAGTTTATAGCCATTCAGAATTATATTTTTTTCTGCAAAAATGTCTTTATTATAAGTGCGGCAATTTTACTACACATTTTTTCTCCTGGCCCAGATCTAATTTCACAGCTTTAGTTTCCGATTTCTATATCCAAATTATGCTGTATTAATGATGTGTTTTTAGGCTTCAACAAATATGAAATGTATTTTTTTGCTTTCTTTCTCATACCTGTGAATAATTTAATTTTATGAATGAGTTTTCCTCAAGGTGATATTTTTCTATGCATAAAAATAAAAGTATTAAGCGAATATTTTATTAAAAAAGTAAATCTTTACAGTAAATTTAGTAATTAAATTCAGTAAATTGTAAAACAAAAATAATTGTTTTCTTTTCAAGCTGAGCAACTTTGATTCTTTTCTAAGTAATAACAAATAGGACAAAACCTTCAAGGAGAAAAAATTACCAGTAAAATTTCCGAACTGTGTGGCAATGATGTTTCGGGAAAAGAACATAATTTTGATTAATGAAACCAAAATATACAGTATTCAAACCATTCATTTGATAATTTTTCCGTGTATATGGTAATGGGTTACTTGAAATTTTTGCTTTTTAAAAATATAGTTCTTATAACCACATATTTAGTAAGAAATAGAAAACTGAAATATATATAGGATATAAATATATATATGGGTAATTCTCACGAAATATGACAATTCAATGTCCATTGCTTCAAAATCTAATATTGTAAAAGAACTTTTTTTTAAAAAAATTAATTAATTGCATTGCTGTTAGCATTTTAAAATGACTTTGTACTAGCATTGACTGTTTTGTATAGTTAAAAAATTTAATTAAACTTCAAAATGTCGTTTTCCTGGCATGTCCCAAACAATGTTTCCAATGATAACTAGCTTCAAAACTTCCCATAAATTTTTCAATATCTAATTTTTTTAATCTCAACCGGTGTAAGCATTTCAAGAATGTACGCAGAGGGTATTATTTACAAAAACATCGTTTAAAATAATTTTTTCTGTCAATAATTTGTTTGTCCCAAGAAAATCTGTCATTTTCCTGGCTTCTTTTGTTTAGTGGTTTATAACCAAAACAGATGGAGCCAGCAATTAATATCTTATGTTAATAGATTGATTATACCTACCCTCCTATATGAACATGTCTTGTTGCATGAATAAGAACAAATTTTCTGGTTCAAAATCTATTTAAAAAAATTCTTCAAGAAGAGTAGGTTTTTGTGTTGTCATTTTCCTGGCTTCTTGAAATCATGAATAACATAAACTACATAGATTTATCTGAGTTATTTTAAAAAATCCTGTTGCTTTCTGCAGAATGTAAACGTCTTAGGCCAAAATATTAAATTAAAATAAAGTTATATGCTATAAAATGTCAAATTTATCCTGGCTGTCATTTTCCTGGCTTATGAATTCCAGGACATTGAAGTGTTACCAAAATATTTTTTAACTGCTAATACTGTAAGGAGGAAAAGCAAATATTAACCTAATAACAAGTTTATGTGTGATTGTAATATGGTTGGATGAAATCAAAATTATTTATTTATTTAACACAATTTTATTCTGTACATATCAGCAACAAAAAAAAAGTTTCATTCTTTCTACAATGGATAAAAAGAATTAATTTAAGCAATTTATGGTCCATCTAACATAAAGGCTTAAGTTGAGTTACTTACTATTAACTTAAAATGACTGTTTTTTAAACTTCTAAGCTAATATGTCATTTTCCTGGCATTCATGATTTGGTGATTTTCTATTTTTTTCTCTCGAGCAAATGTCAATAAACTACACTGCTGTCTGTAAGATACTAATAAATGTAACTAAAGAAGTATACAAAGAAATTTTAGATTATTTTGAAGACTTTAAATTTTAAATTTGAAGAAATTTTTTGATCCGAATTGTCTTGTTTAAAAAGAATCACCCATATATACATATATATATATATATATATTATTTCTAAAANTTTTATTTTTTTCTCTCGAGCAAATGTCAATAAACTACACATACAACTATAACATACAACTATATATATATATATTTATATTAGATGAGTTTTATAGCATGACTAGTTTAATAGCTATTATTTGCATGACACAGATGAAAACTATTTTCAAACTTCTGCTGCATATTATGCTGAAATGTTCCGAAATCGTACTTAAGATGATTTGTGTGATTTAGTGTCTACCAGACAGATTAAAAGTCAATGCATAAAGAACTCTGACGATATGACAGACATTTCTTGAAAATAAATGAAATTGAAATGAAAGTACATTCACGCAAGAGTCAGCTGAGTGGTGAAAAAATTTGATTGATATACTGCTTGAAAATATTTAAGTTATAAAAAAGGGTTGGAAAAAAAATTGTTGGAAATATAATTATGCTGTGCATTCAGCTTGATTACCAATGAAGTTTATACGTTGTGCAAGATAACTCAGAAAGGTGACAAGCTGGAAACAAATAGAAATATTTATTATTTTTTGTGTAATAATTTAAAATATACATTAGTTTCAAATAATACATTTCCTCGCCATGAGAATTGCTGCAAATTGAAATATTTATTATTTTTTTTGTAATAATTTAAAATGTACATTTGTTTCAGATAATACATTTCCTCGCCATGAGAGTTGCTGCAAATTGAAATATTTATTATTTTTTGTGCAATAATTTAAAATATACATTTGTTTCAGATAATACATTTCCTCGCCATGAGAGTTGCTGCAAATGGAAATATTTATTATTTTTTTGTAATAATTTAAAATACACATTTGTTTCTGATAATACATTTCCTCGCCATGAGTGTTGCTGCAAATAGAAATATTTATTATTTTTTTTGTAATAATTTAAAATATACATTTGTTTCAGATAATAAATTTCCTCGCTATGAGAGTTGCTGCAAATTGAAATATTTATTATTTTTTGTGCAATAATTTAAAATATACATTTGTTTCAGATAATACATTTCCTCGCTATGAGAGTTGCTGTAATTCTTAGTCAACCTATTTCTCAAGTTGTATTGAAATGCATATACCGTATTTTCAAGGGTAAAACGAAGCCCGTACCAGCTATTGATAACGAAGTGCTTCTGATGTCTGCTACAAAACTGGCAGCGAAAATTCGCAAACAGCAGGTAATTTTTGATGATTTTGTTTTATTTCAAAAAGTTAAATTTTATTAAATCGAAGAATAATTTTTTCTTGTATTTATAATAAATACTAAGTGTAAACTGGACTCACATTTGTGAGAACGGGTGTTCGAATCCAGCTGGCCGAAGACTCCCCGCGTAGTAATTGGTGACTTGTGCACATTGATTCGTTCGGGTCACAAAGTCCTTAATGTTCCCATAACAAATGGTCTTGATTTTTTATGGGAACATGGTTGTCATTAAAGACTGATTTGTTATTAAAAACATAAAATGAAATGTTAAATATCTGTCGGCCGGGATAGCCTAGTTGGCAAGGCGCTGGACTCACGTTTGTCAGAACGGGAGTTCGAATCTAGCCGACCGAAGACTACCGAGTAGTAAAAGGTGATTGGTACACGTTAAATCTGTCGGGTCACAAAGTCCTCCATGCTCCCGTAACAAATCAATATATCTGGGGGTACTGAACTGGAGATTGATCTTCTTCTGGTTCAGGTCAAAATTATGATCTGCGGATGAATGAATAGATGTATGAATGGATCCGCCCTATAAACGGGTGTGACGTATGGGTGTGGCAGAAATTGAATTCTTGGTCATAGATGGCGCCACTAGAAAACAAGAACAATCGCACCTCCTCTGTTTTAATGATTGAAGACAACAACCAAATGTAGAACAGCAAAAAGTCATACCATTGTTGCAAAAAGTCATACCATTGTATTGGTTAATTGCGTCTCACATTTTTACTATAATAAAATAATATTTTTTATTTCAAGCGAATAGACAAAACGTTATATAAAGGTGGAAGAAAGTCTTAAGTCATATACCTACAGTTTCATTTGCAAAACACGCCAAGATAAATCAGTGAAATGAATTTCTAGCCAAATTCTCATCAGGATTACTTACTAATTCTGTACAAATGGCTCATTCATAAATGGTACAAATGAATACCTCTATCTGATGCAATAGTTCAAGTGAATTATCTTTATACCTACACTGAGAAAAAAAATTATGATAGAAATTACCAGATTATGGTGCAAAGTTTATCGTGTTTCTCGCTCTTTGGAAAAGCCAAAAAGATCTGTAATTTTTGCCAATGTGCTTTGGTAACTATTTCGGTAAAGTCAGCAAGAAATATGGTTTTGCAATTTGCGATAAAAATTTTTGATGCAATTTGATGATATCTTAGAGCATGACCTAAAAGCCGATAATTTGGTTAAAGATATAGATTTGTATTTTTTACTAAGTGCGTAGTAACAAGGACTATAATTTTGAAAAATGAGAATTTCTGGTAAACTGTTACCAAATGAACAGAAAATTGACATACGAATAGATTAAATAACATACCGGCAATGGACAAAATAATGGAAACACTTCTGTACTAATTATGTACTAATCATTTTATAATTTCAGACATGTTAAGATCATGCAGTTTATTACATCCATGAAGTTTAAAGCTATTTAAGGTTTGAGAGAACGACAATAAATTACAAACGGAAAATATTGCTTTTGAACACCCCATGTCCAAAAATGTCGCAAAAGATTTGTAACTTGTGGCAGTTATTTAGGTCATTAGATGCAATAATAGCACAAAATTTCGTAATTCTAGCTTAAATATTTGTGAAAATAGGGACATTTTTATAAAAAAATTTTTTTTTTCAGTATTGTGTTTTTTAGTATGACTTAAAAAAATTTTTATATTGATTAAAACAAAATTTTCAGAGCAATTTAGAAGTAACTAGGAGGCTTCGACCCCTGCTCGCTAGCGCTCGCCAACCCCCGGAACTGCTTTCGTAGTTCATTTCGGATTGCTTCGCAATCCGATGCTCGCTCTGCTCGCTCATTGGATACGTTCTTAGCGTCTAGCTTTTGTATACTTTTTTGAACACTGAAGTTCCGAAAACTTTTCACTGTAGAAAATTCTAAACCTGTGCCTTTAAATATTAATTTGAAATTGAAAACTGTTCGCATATTTTTCTTACTCACACCATTCTAAATTTCAGTTGTTGAGAAAAGTAAGTTTTGTTTTAAAGTCTTTCCCACCAGAGGGCTAAAACCATGTGTTGTAAAACAATATGAAATAGTACTGAACGCCGGATGTAAAGCATCGGCTAGGATGAAGATAATTTTGTGAGAATGTTTTTGAAAATTCGGTGAGAATTCACCCGATTAGACATATGATACTTACTACGTGCTCTTGCGAGCCGAAACCTATCAATTAAAACGTATTAGAGTTTTATATAATATAGATTAGCCATGTGATGCTCACTACGTGCTCTTGCGTGCCAAATCCTATCAATTAAAAATGAAAACTGTTGCCAATGCGAGAAAAGAAATATCATCGGTTTTATTGATACATACGTATTAGCGTTTTATATAATATAGATTACAAATATTTTCTAAACCTAAATATTTCTGAATTTATTAAATTATACCCTGAGTATACTTTGAGAAAGATTGAAAAGTGTGTTGTGTAAGTGTGATGTTTCAATTATTTTGCCTAACTCCTGTTTATTTAAAAAAAAAATTTCCGAAATTTTTTTGCTTTTACCAGAAATGTAATTACCATACAGTATGGTAATTTTACCAGAATATTTTTCCCCTTGTATGTAACAAAAGAGGACATTAAATTTTAATACTACTTCTACATGCCATATCATCTAACCATCTCTTTCTGGGTCTCGAATTTATTCATGTTTAATTTAAATTTTTCTCAGCCCCTATTTTAATTAATTTTCTCTATTTGGTCAGCCATACCAATGAATTGAATAAGAACTCTGTTTGTTTAATTGAATGTCACGTTAATCACTCTTTCTATTTCTCAACTAAAAAAGTCCAAAAATTTTTCTTTCAAATGCTTAATGAGTCATTTTCATGATTATTATCTTAAATACCGGTACTCAGGGTGTCAGTACTTTTTACTGAAAACTTATATTTGGAAAAAATAAGATCAGATACATTGTGAGTTTCTCAGTAATATTCACTGTAAAATCACGTAAGTACAGTAAATAAATAATTATTACGTTAAAAATTATAGCATGAAATTTTACTGGAAAAATAGATTTTACAGTAATGTGAATTTCATGAGGTTGCATTTAGGGTGACATTACTTTTTCTCATAATTTCATTTCATATTATTCTAGGATGTGTGACTGAATGGCTTGAGTCATAATTTGAACAAAAAGGCAGCTGCGTGGAATAGATAAAAAATATAATTGTATTTTGTTCTACTGAAGTGTTAGTAATAAAAATAAAATTTTTTATGTAAGCTAACTTAGTAAACTATGTAATAATTTTTTCACGATACTTTTTTCGCGTATCTACACTGTCTTATAGCTTTATTTTCTTTGTAATATAATCTGTTATCGAAAAAAGTTTTCGATAACTATTTTTCAAAACTTTATTAAAATTTATGTCAATTTTTCTTACTTAAGAAAGTTGCCGAATTTTTATTCAAAAAGTATAAAAAATAAATATCAATAAAAATATTTCATTCAGAATATATAATTGAAATTAAATTTTATTAAATTGCAAACATGAAATCAGATCAGATAATTGTAATGCACGTAAAAATTATTATTTGATTACCCAGCCTGAAAAAACTAATAAGTCTTTATTCATTCAAGTAATCATTCATATTTTTTAGCTTTATTATTTTTTAAATTTTTTTGTTTGTCATTTACAATGATTAAGCGTTAACAAAGTTCACATGATTTAACAAATGTCTATACAACTAAAGGTCTGGTTTCTTAGGACAAGCGCCTTATCTGGGAGTCAGCGGGACGTCAACGTCCCGCTGACACCAGCAAAATACTGGTTTATTAGATCAAGGCCTGGTTTCTTACAACTAGCGCCTTATTTGGGCGTCAGCGGAAAGTTGACGTAGAGCTGACGCCAAAAAAATACTTTTTTGTTAGCTCAGCGTGAGCAATCGGTCCAACGCCGACATTATCTCTCATTGCGCATGCGTTAATAACGTAAACAAATATTTATTTTGCATTTGTATTGATTTTGTTTTTGTCGACCAGTGTTTTAGAGAACAAATAATGACTTTGTTCAAGAAGAAACACATTATAGCTGAGCTAAATGAAGAGTGCTATGTTTAATGAAGAAGCTATGTTTAATGTCAAAGTCAAAATCTTGGCTGATTTCAATGTGCTGTTGGATGTTGTCCACCATTTCTTCTGTGGTTAACGTCACGTTGTAATCCAACTGCAGTTGAGCTGGACGGCAATTGTAGTTCAAGATGAGCGTTCGATGACGTATACTATCAAACTCACAAATGGACCAATCAGAGGTTAGCGCTGATTTCCAGTTGACGGCGTCCTGTCCTAAGAAACCAGGCCTTAAGAGGCCCAGCCAACACCTCTTCGTAAAGAGAGACATCAATATAGTAGTCCTATGTAATGAACATAAATTGCGTAATAAGGAGAAAATAAAATAAAATGTCACAATGCTTGGACTACTAAATTGCGAAGCATGAAATATGAAACGAAACATGTTGCTACGTTCGGACTGATATGGGATCAGATTTCTCTTTTATGGTAACCCGTGCGAAGGTATTCTCTCTTCTAGGAGGTATTGGCTCACTCTGCTACCTTACTAGCCCTTTTAATACATTAAGTTTAATAATAAACATCAACTCTAATTTACTATTCCAAATTTCCGTGGTTAATTGCACAACAATTTCAAGTCCTTTATTTTTCAAAAAAGAACAACTCATAAAATGCATAAAGGTCGAAAGAAAAGGTGGAAAAGGGAAAAATGAAGTCATAGTGACGAAAAATTAAATTTTGTAATCAAGGGTTAGAACAAAAATATTAGTTGGATCACTGAGCAACGTCATCCACGTCGAGCGTCGTCTTTAGTAGCATAAAAGAGAGCTATCTCGAAAACTTCCTAGAAAATTCCAGAAAATTCTTTATACTACACAATGCTTTTCTATTCTTGTGTAGTTTCATTAAAACGTTTCTTGCTCTTGCGTGAAATTGTGGTTTAAAACAAAAAGGTAAAATAATTTAATTATTTACATGAACAGTTAGTTCACTTTAAAGCCTACCCAAATTATTCCTCCCAATTACAGTCACTATTTCAACCCAACTTATAGCTCAGTTTGTTACAGCTCTTCCTTACAAACGAAAGAAAATAATTTTGTTTCAATTTTGTAAACTTTGTATAATTATTCAATGATGCTTTTTTTTTGGTCAAGTGCCTGTTTAGGCAGAAGGGGTGCGATTGTTCCTGTTTTTCAGTGGCGCCATCTATAGCCAGGAATTCGACATCTGCCACGCCATTCACGCATCCACAACCCGTTTATAGGGCGGGTCATATTCACACACAAAGGAGAAAGGACATAGAACACAGAGAGAGAGAAAGAAACATGCATGTCTTGCCCGGGATTCGAACCCAGGACCTGTCTGATGCAATGACAGTTCCCCGCCCCCTACACAGGCCGGTCGGCATTCAATGATGATTTGTAAATGAGAGTGTAAAAATGTTTTTATTTAGTTGTTTTATTTTTTTTAATAGATAAAATGTGAAGAGGTTATGCGTGCATACATTGACAGATCCCGTTTAGTACAACCCTATATCAATGCTATCGTTGATGAAAGATACGATAAGGCTATAGAAGAATCCAAGGATGTTGATACTTTCCTTCAAAAAGGAGAAAAGACTGTTGAAGAAATTGAAAGAGACACGCCATTGCTAGGCGTTCCATTCACTTGTAAAGAATCCGTTGGAGTCAAAGGTACATTTCTAATATACAGATATCATTTTTAATAAATTACCACTATATTTATTAAATTTACCAAATTATTATTATCAGTAGGGGCTATGATTACATGTGGATTTCAGTTTGGTTAAAGATTTTCAGAAAGTAGTGTGCTTTGGTTTAGCAAGGTTATATTTTAAATAGGTTTTCTGATCATTGTTTTATCTTTTGGAATTAGTTTTTGTATTTTACTTTTATATTTTGTATTCTCTTTTTCTTTTGTCTTGGACTTTTTACAAAGCCTTTGGGTCCCGCAGTGAACTGATCGTTAAGACACGGTTCCCAGCAGATCAAACATGACTGGCTGCGGTCAGTATGCGGGTGGGTGACTACTTGGATATGTCTGCATAGGGACCGAGGATGTGTGGTATTGGTCCTCGTTTAACTGTTCTACCGTAAAGTTCTCGACTTCACTTACAGATTATCGGGCTACCGAAGAGGGGGTGCAATCCCCTTTGCGGAGAATCAAAAATGTAATGGCATGTTCATCCTTAGGGATGTCTCCCAGACCGTCTCCAATAGCCCATTGTGCAGCTCTAGTGCGACGTAAATGAACTACAACTACAGCAACAACAAAACTTTAGGGGTAAAGGGAGAGCAAATTCGAGACATTTGTCGCACTCTCTCGAAAGAAGAGGTTTTGCGTTATGACCTCCGGGGCTGGTACCCCCTGATGATGTCAGCTTCGGTTGACATTATTATATTTTTCATTGTTTTCTTCTTTAAAATTTTCTATTGGTTTCAAATTTCTTATGAAATTTCTGATACATTGCGCAACTTTCCTTTCGAATTGTAGTATTAAACTGATTTATGCAAGATATTTGATTTCTCTTTTTTTTAGTAGTAGTAGATTTCCAGGGTACCTATGCAGTTTCAAACAAAGCATTCAGAATAGTGGTAAAAAAAGTTTTATTCTATTTGCAGAGAAAGAAATAACTCAGTATGCAATATCATTGCAAAGATGCTCGTGTTAACCTGAATTTGATTTTTTTTCTCTTTTTAACTAACGTTGACCCTTTCTTAAATACATTGCAAGCAATATAAAGAGTACCCATAAGAATTTCTCTATCATATGATGTTGAATGAGATCGCAGTATAAGCCTCAAAATAGGTTAAAAATTTGTTCAATTAATATCATATACTCTGCAACAAAATATTCTAATGGATTAAAATCCGTAGAGTTTGATGGCCATTCATCTCAGAGCAGCAAATCAGCCTGAAATTGATTAATATTTGCTTTAAACAAAGTAACATCATCTTGCTATCTTAAGTGTTCAACCCATTCTTCTGAATAATTTCCTCTAAAATATAGACTTTGACTCGAATTTTAGACCCCTTATAAATAACCAACAAATAATCAACAGAAGTTTCACTAAACTATCATTAAAAATATGATTTGATCTGTAGACACGGATATTTTATAATGTGTTATATCTGGTATTGTCGTTAACTGCCATGGATCATTTTAAGTGTTTTTTAAATTGCTTTGCAATAAAGAGTTTCCCTTCGGATTAACAAATCATTTTACTTGCCATAAAAGAACGATAATTCACTTTTTTCATCCACTTTATAACCAGCGGCATTTAATGTCTTTGAAAAAAGAAATTTTTAAAAAAATAAGATTGCGCATTGATGACTTTTTGAGCTATGAGATTATTTTATATGGAAAATTAGATATAAAGGTCACTTATAGAATTTTTTTTCTTCTTGAAATTAAATATTTGAATTATTACTTGCAAAAATTTTACTGTAACTAGAATGATTCTTGTCTAAAAAATATATAGAGCAACAGAGCACTTTTTGACATGAAAAGTAAAATAATTCATTTGCTTGCACTTGCATTACGATAACCTCTATTACCATTGCTCAAAAGTGCTTAAATAATAAAATAAGTTACATGAAACAATAAACAATTTACACTATATAGAAATTAAGACTATAAAACACTAAAACTGCTTTTTGTTATGTTAAATAAAAAACAAATGCATATGAATAGTGGGTAGGTACAGTACTCTCAAAATAAAAACTGACCACCCTGAATAACTTTCGATCTAATGATTGGATTTCCGCATTCTAGGATTTATTCTTAATGGTTCGATGAGGCTACCTCAAATGTGCTAATTATCAGTGCAGACGATATTTCAAGTTGTAAAATCAGATGCAAAAACGTTCTTTCTCTGAATAAACATACCTTTTTACGATGGATTGTTATTTCTGACCCCCAAAATGTAGGAGGTAGCTGAACTCTCTGGGAAATACGAGTTTGTTTGGAGTTTGGTCGAATGAGCGATCATAAAATCGGATCCCTTAATGTTATTTTCGCTTTTTTCTTATTTTGCTATATTAATTTATCTTATTAAACGAATTGAAAAAATTTTACACATAGTTATAAAATTTGTTTATCTGAAAAACATTGCTTGAAAAATACAACTTTTAGTAAATATTCATTATTTTTCATTAATTTATTTAATAATAGTCGAAAAAATTTTGAATTGCATGATATAAATTTTTTTTGAATTATTTTTAAAAATGCAATTTTAAATAGCAAAATTCAAAATTTGAGTTCGTTCGAATAGTTTCTAAGAAGTGGAATTTTGAAAAAGTTGTTTTTCTTAAAATTTGGTTTCTCAAGAACTTTTTGACGAATTTAGTTCTTTACCATTTAGTATTTTACCATTTAAAATCGCATTTTTTAAAATAATGCAATAAATGTATACCTTACAATTCAAAATTTTTTCGACTATTATTATATAAAGTAAGGAAAAATAATAAATATTTACTAAAAGCTATAATTTTCATGATATTATCTTTGGGTAATTAAATTTTATAATTGTGTGCCAAAAACTTTTCATTTCGTTTTAAATGTAAGGGGTCCTAACTTAGGACCCCTCTCCTGATGAAACTATTGGGACCGTTATGCGGATTACGCCAAACCCTATACTTTTGGGGATAGAAATNGCAAAATTCAAAATTTGAATTTGTTCGAATAGTTTCTAAGAAGTGGAATTTTGAAAAAGTCGTTTTTCTTAAAATTTGATTTCTCAAGAGCTTTTTGACGAATTTAGTTCTTTACCATTTAGTATTTTGCCATTTAAAATCGCATTCTTTAAAATAATGCAAGAAATGTATACCTTACAATTCAAAATTTTTTCGACTATTATTATATAAAGTAAGGAAAAATAATAAATATTTACTAAAAGCTATAATTTTCATGATATTATCTTTGGGAAATTAAATTTTATAATTGTGTGCCAAAAACTTTTTATTTCGTTTTAAATGTAAGGGGTCCTAACTTAGGACCGCTCTCCTGATGAAACTATTGGGACCGTTATGCGGATTACGCCAAACCCTATACTTTTGGGGTTAGAAATCCGAATCCGTCGGAAAAAAGGCATGTTTAATCAGCAAAAGTACGTTTTCAAATCTGATTTCCTAATTTAAATATCGTCTGCGCTACTTAATTAACATATTTGAAGTCACCCTTTCAAACCATTACGTTTATGAGTCCTAGAACTTGGTGCAGATCCGATTATTAGATCAAAAGTTATTCACGGTGGTCCGTTTTTTTTTTCGCATTGCACATATTGAAAGAAATTTAGCAGAAAGGAAGACTGACAGTTAAATTTTAAGCGCTCTTGAATTTTACTCATTCAAAAACTGACAACTATCTATATTTCTTCAAGCTAACTTAATATGTAATGAAATAATAAATTAAGTCATTAAATAGAAATCACTATTTTGCTATAAATACCATAAACACGGTAACGGAACAGAAGAGTAACTGAGGGGGAAAAAGAAGAAAGAGACGGCAAGTCAATTTAATTCGACAAGCTCAATTGAAGAGGCGAAAGGTTTAGATAAAATTGAAAAACGTAATTTCATCTCGCCATAAAAAAATCAACTTAACATTAAAACAATAAATTTAAAACAATTATGCTAAAATAAAGGGAAAAAACAACCTTTTCTTGTCTAAGCCTTATTAGAATACGGCAAATATAATGAAAATTTTTTAAGTGGCAACGTTATCCAAAAATAGAATATCCTGGGAACATATTTTTGCCAACTCAACAGAAATAGTTTTCTACAATAATTATGATAACAGAGTTGAAAAAAAATCTTGGGATAATATTTAAATGCTTGATTTTTATTCAAAAGTAATTTTTAAAAGCGTATATTAGATATGCAGTGTTGGAGCAGTTTACACAATTGATAAATTAAAATTATTTTCAATTAATAGCAATTTATTGAAATTACTGAGACATAGCAATTTATCTGTATCTTAAGTAATAAAGCAGTTATCTTTTTTAAAATAACTCAGTTATAATTTTCACAATATTAATTTCTGTTTGGTAAATTAAATTTCATGCTTAAAAATGTTTTTTGAAATTTTATTACAGAAATTAAAATTACTGGCATGCTACATCAAAATAAAAAAGTTTTTTGAAAATGACCTATGTGTTTACACATGGGAAATTATTGAATATTCCTTGAGCCTTCTATTTTTATAAAGATTAGTATCAGTAATAAAATCACTAAAAAAATAATTCACTTCTGCTGGTTTTTAGAGCATATCTTACATTGCTAAAATTTCTTTCATTGTCTTCGATAAAAAAAATAACAATTTCTTTGAATGGTTAGATTTTTTTTAAAACTTAATCACGAATAAATGTTGCTCTATCAAAAATGTTTACGTAACCAATAAAAAATACATGCTCTGGATTGCGTACATTTTATGAAGTTACTGTGTCATTCTATTTATTCAGCTTTATTTTTTTTGGTACTTATTTGCGACATTTATTTCAACTTAAAGTATAAATATTACTGTAATAGTTATTTATTCATAAAACCTTAAAGAATTAGTGACATCAGTTCTGAATCAGATCTACTGTATTTCTTGCAGAAATTGCTAATTATCTTATATATATAGTCCACATAGTGTTTAATATTAAAAAATATTTTTTTTCGCAGGTTTATCACAAACAGCTGGTATTTATAAAGATAAAGGTAGAAAAGCAGAAAAGGATTCTGATGCTGCTGGATTTTACAGAGCAGCTGGTGCTATACCTGTAACTGTAACCAATGTTCCAGAGCAAACTATGTGGTGGGACAGTGCAAATCTCATTTATGGCATCACCGAAAATCCTTTCGATCACTCCCGAATACCTGGTGGAAGTTCAGGTATCACTATTGTAAATATATTTATTAAATAATCATTTTACAAGGATACATATTTTATCAAAGTTCATATTATCGTAATGGTAGGAGCTATAGAAAGTGATTTTATTTTATAATCATCATTGAACAGCAGATTCATTTCTGTGTTTGCGATTATACATCTTCAACTCCATAGCCTTATAATTTTGAATCCAACCCAGAAGGCAAATTAACTCCTGACATCGAAACAAACTTCTTCGATGAAACTAACCCTAATTTGTGTTACATGAAGATGAAAAACACGTAAACCTCTCTTATCTAGCCCGACGACAAGGGGATTTTAACCCATGGTATGTCTACATCAGCAGATATTTTGAGTCAAATTAGTGCGACTTGATCCACCACGAAATCTTGGAGAAAAAAATATGGGCCAATGAAATGCTAAAATTGATATGTGTTACAAAATGAATGAAATATCACTTTGGAACATGGAGTCGCAAACCTTATATGGAGTCGTTAGAGAGAGTTGGTAATTGCGCTATGAACAAAGATGATGTACAAAAAATCATTTCAAATTTTTTTTTACTGTATTTCCAAGCGTGTTACCCATTCATGACCGATTCAGATACAGTAGATGCTGAAACTTCTGTCTGAGCGCTTAGATACTCTCAATGCAACGACATTACATGGAACGTCTCACCATCAAACCTACCAAATGTATCTCCAGCACATCTTGCAATCACAATAATCTATGAAAGCTTTAAGCACCTACTGTTGTAGTATCGTTCGTAATTGTTAAACGGGTAGAAATACTACAAAAAAACAAGAAATGTTGAATGGTGAATAATTAATTGTCCTATTGCATTATAATTTGCAAGGCTTTCTAGCAATATGAATAGAGTTTGCAACCACATGTTCCTATATAATTTTTTATCCCTTGTATACGCCTGCTCTGCTTACCATTTTTTACACAATTTGTGTGTTTTTTCTTAAATTTTTATATACAGGGTGTTCCGTAAGAGCCAACCTTCACACTTATTTTTAGAATCATTATCAAAAATGAAAACATAAAACTTTACACATTGGAGGACGCAAATTAAAGTAAAAACGCTGTGGAAACTCGACGAATCATGGCGCAAAAAATCGATTACGATAAACCACTAGTAAGGTTTAATTATGGGAGGAAGCAGAGATGACTTGAAAGACAATTATTGGAAACACTTTCAACTTCTTACCTTCAATTGACGCTTAATACATCCACCTTCTTTCTACTACGACATGTTAGATTTTGATAAAATTCTTTTTTTTTCTCACTTAAATATAAATTTGCAACCCTCAATGTGCATAATTCCTTGTTTTCATTTTCGATGAAGATTCTAAAAATGCATATGTTAACGGGAACAACTTGTGTCTGATTAAAATTTGAAATATTTTGTGATAGAAAAAGGATAGAAAAGAAATATCGCAAGCTGACAACATCTGTTAATTAAATTGGATTTTAGTAGTGATTGAAATGGTAATCAATTATAATTTTCGGAGGAATAATTAAAAGTGAGAAATATGAGTGAAATTTTAAAGCATGTCCATTGATGAAATTTTTTTAAGCCGTTTAATATATTTACTTTTTGTGAGTTGCTTGCGTTTTCAGATTATTTACATGTATGGGTATTTTTGACACCCAATTTTTTTTCGTAGAGTTAAATTGTTAATTTTATAAAACAATTATTTAGCACCAATTAAATTTTACTACAAGTTAAAATTTGAACACTTTAATTTTTGTAGATTATTCTAAATTAAAATTTATCGACCATGTGTTTTAGATGTTTGCACTAAAGATTATTTAATAATTTGTTAGGTGGAGAAAGTGCTCTTCTCACAACTGGTGGAGCTGTAATTGGTATCGGAAGTGATATAGGAGGAAGCATTCGAATGCCATCTTCTTTTTGTGGTATATACGGGCACAAACCTACAACAAGTACTGAAACAAATCATTATTATTTCTATAATTATTAAGTTAATACCTAGCCCTTTATACTGAATAAATTTAAAATTTGTTATAATTATGCGAGGGTTGTTTTTTAAACCAAACCGTTAGAAAATAAAAACCAAACGAAAGTAAATTTTCAAGAAACAAATTTATTTTCAGATTCCACACGCGGTTCTCTTTTTTTCAGCATAGTGGCTAAGTTTGTTTAAACACTTATCATAACCTTACAATTAGATTTAGAATACCTTCTTCATACAGACTTGCCACCTTCTCCGTTAACCAAGAGATCACGGCCGTTTTCACGTATTCATCATCGTTGTAGTGATTACCACCAAAATGATGTGCGAAATATCGGAAAAGATGAAAATCACTCGGTGCAAGGTCTGGGTTGCAGTGAGGGCTGGTCCAAAACTTCCCAACGAAAAGAGTCCAATAAAGCTGGTATCTGAGCTACAGAGAGAGTCATTATCATAGAGTAGCAAAATTTCCTGTCCAGAATTATAGGGAATTTTGCTACATCACAAATCGTAAATTTGCAAATCTGTCAGTGAATGTAGGCAACAGACAGGTATGAGCTGTCTAAACACGCGTCACCGACCGTATCTCGTGCGTAGCGAGTTGGTTGGTTCTAATGCCACTTGCCACACTGGCAAGCCTGCTTGGTGAAACCGAACAAATTTAAGGGGACACTTCACGATGAAAAACCCAAAAATCGACCAAATGATACTTTTTTCAATTTTTGTTTCAAAAAATAATAGTTATATCTAGCTACAATTTAAAAGAANCAAATTTAAGGCAGAGTTTGTGATTCTTGTTTTTCAGTGGTGCCATCTATGGCCAGGAATTCTACTTCTGCCACACCATACGTCACACCTGTTTATAAGGCGAACCCATTCATACATCCATTCATTCATCCACAGATCGTAATTTTGACCTGAATCAGAGAACGATCGATCTCCAATCCACTACCCCCAAAGGCATTGATTTGTTTTGGGAACGTGGAGAACTTTGCGACTCGACAGAATTTTAATGTGCATCAGTCACCAACTACACATAGTCTTCGGCCGGTGGGGTTCAAGCCCACGAACTCTCGGACGGGGCCCAACGCCCTACGGTACAGACTATCCCGGCGCGTTGTGAGAGATTTGTTAAATTTGAGCATTTTAAAAACACAGAACTAACAGTAGAGTCTACCTACACAGCTGCAACTGAACACAGTTGTTCTCAAGGAATGCCGGGACATGACACAAGCACTCGTTGCGACGAAAGCTTCACCTATTAGTGACACAACAAAACGACCCTTGCTTAAAAAACAACCCTCGTAAAAATTAATCGTCTGGTGCTGAAAAGAGTCTCAAAATGAGTATTTAAATTTATACTTACTATTTAGATAATATATATCTTGTCAGGAAAAATATGATTTGTGTCCCTTAGATCCTATTAGAAATGTCTTTAACATACCGGTTGTATGTAAAAACACTTTTTACTAAGTAAACTACTTGTTTGTTTCTGATTCTAGAGGATACTGAATGATAAAAACTGAATAATAAAAATTTGTTAAAAAACTTCCACACAGCAATTACCACAAAAGAATTTGGGCGAAATGGCCCGAAATCTTTAGAATTTTTCCGCTATCTATTTCACGTATAAGTAAAAAAAATTGCTGTACTAATACAAATAATTTAGAGTTTTTTAAATTATAGTGAAAGGATTTTCAAACATTTTTAACAAGGAACATAGTTCTAAGAGAAAAACAATTCTCGCAACAAATTTTCATGATAGTACATCTAACTTTCATCTAAGACTGGTTTTTGTCGAGATGTTTAGGTTTGGTCAAAATGTAGCTGCGTATGCTAGCGTATAAATAAATGAAAGATAATTAAAAATCACATCATAACATGTTGCATTACTGTATTTAATTTGGGGTGATGGTGGATATTTCGAAAATATTTTAATTTGATTTCCGTTGATTAAACGATTTCGGGAAATCGAAATATAATTTTCCCTCCTTAAGGGATTTCGAAAAACCTGTGATGAGATTTTTAATTATTTTTCATTGGTTTACAAGCTTATTTTCTGCATTGCCATCTGTCGACAAAATTATGAACTAGAATTTCTGGGAGGAATGCATTCCTAATCTTATGAAATCGCTGATAGATTTATTTTTTAGAAACGAATGTGTTGTATTCAGTTCGAAATTTTTCCACAATGATTTCAGTCGTACACTACAATGACTGCCTAACCCACAGTGTTTCATTAATTTTTTTCAAATATTTTATATGATCGTTTTTCTTTCTTTTTTTTTAATTTGTTGCAAATTCCAATAACGAATTAAAAGCTTTAAATATAAAGATAGGCACGTTTTCATGTGATATTTTGTAACAATATTTTTTTCTTTTTTTAATGGCGGGCACTTGGGAGTTGTCCCATTGGCCACAGGAATGCCAGAACTGATACTCTCTTCTCGTTACCTACTGGGCACCTGTGGCGAAGCCACGGCGGTGGAGCAGCGTCGCCCACGTCACACAACCACAATCCATTTATAGGGTGGGTCACATTCCCACAATCACACACAAAGGAGAAAGCACATCGAACAAAGAGAGAGAGAAAGAAACATCCATGCCCTGAGCAGGATTCGAACCCGCGACCAGTGGCTCCGTAGTCAGGCACGCTAATCACTCGGCCACCAGGTCGGCTTGTAGCAATATTATGTCCTTATTGTTGCATTCCTAAAGAGTGCAATTTCATGTTTTGATCAAATTAGTCTATATTGTGCTTTATTATTTCGTTTTAAAATATATTCCAAATAGATTAATTCACCTCTGTTTTTATTAATATTAGCTAAGAATTTAGAGCTAATAGTCTTTATCTGAAATAATTGGCCGGGATAGCCTGGTTGGTAGGGCGTTGAGCCCATTTCGAGAGTTCCATCCCCGCCAGCTAAAGACAGAGTGTACACAATGGTGACTGGTGCACGCTAAATCTGCGTGTGTCCCCCCAAGTTCCAATAACAAATCAAAACCTCTGGGGGTACTGGATCGAAGATTGATCGTGCTCTGATTTAAGTCAAAATTGAAGTCTGGGGATGGATGGTATGTCAATATGTCCTCGGTGTAGCGTTTGTGTGTGGAAGAAATCGAATTATTGGCTATAGGTGGCGCCACTGGAAAATAAGACGGTGCGCACTCCTCTGACTTAAAATAGGCGTGTCAATGTTGACAGGTGGCATACGACAACAACAGCAACATCAGATATAATTGTCATTTTGGATCATTTTTCTTTTTATTACCATACTATTCTTTCAAATTAACTACGGTAATTCAGCGAGCTACTACAATATCATTGACCAGTCTCTATTTCGGTGCATGCATCGCGCATACTTAAATAAGTACGTAATTATTTTTTCACAACAAAATGAGGTTTCACTTTTGTTGTTTGTATTTATAGGTGTAGTATCGAATGCGGGGAAGCGTCCATACCATGAAGTTCACAGTAAGAAAGTAGATCACATGGTCAGTATTGGTCCAATGTGTAGATATGCTGAAGATCTTCCTCTTCTTTTAAAAGTACTGTCTGGAGATGATCGGAGGCTGAAGTTGCACAATAAGGTAAAAAATATTTAAATGCTACTTTGGATAAAGGAAAAAAATAGTGCGTGGAGTCCCTCCGCGCGGAAGAAGTTAAACTTCGCAACCTGCGACGCTAATTGTAGAAGAATCAGCAGTCGTAGAAGGATCACTAGTTCTATTCAGCGATTCTATTTCCTACTCAGCTCGCTTCCGTGCTCTGTAATCACGGTAATATTGTGCATTTTTCCCTCGTGGACCTCTTGAACCAGTGGAAGTGCTTGTGGTTGCCTCATCGTCTCGCCCTGGAAAATGTATTTGTATTAATAATGTGTGTGAATGCGCCATTATGTAACTTCAGAAGAGAAAACCTAACAATCAATTGATATTCACAAGAGACGTACCTTGACATAACCTTAAATCCGTCGCATTGTCCGTGG